CTTGGGGTGCTTTGTTACTATGCTACATCCCCTGACCTTTTTAAAAATTTTTCATCAAATTGTGGAGGCTGGCATGGTGATCCCCTGTGGCTCCAGAGGCTGAGGCAGGAAGATCACAAGTTCAAAACCAGCCTCAGCAATTTAGTGAGGCCCTAAGCAACTTAGCAAGACCCTGTCTCAAAAAATAAAAAGGGCTGGGAATGTCGCTCAGTGATAAAGCATCCCTGGGTTCAATCCCCAGTACAAAAAAAAATGTTAATACTGGCCTTGAATTTGGAGTCCTCCTCCCTCAGCCTCTCTAGAAGCTGGGATTACAAACCTGAACCACCATGCCTGGCTCAGATGTTATTTTCTGGCATTCTTAGCTTTAGGGTTGGTGGAAGCTAGTGGTCCTTCCTCTCCAGTGACTATGGAGACTGAGGCAGGAGGATCACAAATTCCAGGGCATCCTCAACAATTTCATGAGACCCCATCCCAAAATAAAAAAGGGCTGGGGATGTACCTCAATATTAAAGCACCGTGGATTATATTTCCAGTACCAAACAGATGGACCAACACACACAGATTATGAAAGGTTTACCTAATAGTTGAGAGAATGTTAAGTCAGATACAAAGGTTAAAAGTAAAACAGCGGGCTGGGGTTGTAGCTCTGTGGCAGAGCATTTGCCTAACATGTGTGAGGCACTGGGTTTGATCCTCAGTACCATATAAAAATAAATAAATAAAATAAAGGCATGGTGTCCATCTGCAACTAAAAAAAAAAGTTTAAAAAAATAAGGATTGGGGTTGTGGCTCAGTGGTAGAGCACTTGCCTCTCATTTGTGGGGCACTGGGTTTGATCCTCAGTACCATATAAAAATAAATAAATAAAATAAAGGCATGGTGTCCATCTGCAACTAAAAAAAAAAGTTTAAAAAAATAAGGATTGGGGTTGTGGCTCAGTGGTAGAGCACTTGCCTCTCATTTGTGGGGCACTGGGTTTGATCCTCAGCACCACATAAATAAATAAAGTAAAGGTATTGTGTCCATCTACAACTAAAAATAATAATAATAATAAAAAAGTAAAATGGCTATTTTTCTAAAGGGCCTGAGATAGTACAAGATAATTTTGACATACAATATGTTCTCTCTCCGTAATCGCTATGTTCTAGGCAGCCAAAGCCAAACAGTCCACAGGATTTGTGACATAGATACATGATGGAAAGTTCCAGTCCAGAGACCCAGTTACAAAGTAAAAAAAGAAAAGTGTAAACCAGGCATGGTAGCACATGCCTATAATTCCAACAGCTCCGGAGGCAGAGGCAGGAAGATCATGAGTTCAAAGCCAGACTTGGCAACTTAGTGAGGCCCTGAACAACTTAATGAGATCCTGTCTCAAAATAAAATATAGGGCTGGGGCTGTATGCGTGAGGCACTGGGTTTGATCCTCAGCACCACATAAAAATAAACAAATAAAATAAAGGCATTATGTCTATCTACAACTAAAAAAAAAAAAAAAAAAAAAAAAAAGAAGCTCCCAGTTTGAGATTAAACTTTAAAAATATATATAAGAAAAAAAAAAAGGCTGGGAATCGGGCTCAGTGGTTAAAACCTTTGGATTCAATCCCCAGTACCGGAAAAAAAAAATGTGTAAACAGAATGGAAATGTCCATAAGTCATGAGTCTAGTAACTCCCCGCTACCCCCAGTACTGGAATTGAACCCAGGGGTACTCTCCCACTGACCTACATCCCCAGCCCTTAGTTACCCATGCATGACCTCAAACTTGCAATCCTCCTGTCTTAGCTTCAAGAGTAGCTGAGATCACAGGCATGTGCGATAATGCCTGGTTGGTAACACTCTTGTGATTTTTTTGCGGGGGTGCAGAGGCAGAATTTAATCCAGGTCCTCACACTCTCGGCAGGTGCCCTACCACTGAGCTACATCCGCAGCCCTTTGTTTGTTTTTGGTACTGGGGATTGAACTCAGGGGTACTAGACCACTGAGCCACATCTCCAGCCCTATTTTGAATTTTATTTAGAGATAGGGTCTCACTGAATTGCTTAGTGCCTTCCAGTTGCTGAGGATGGCTTTGAACTCATGATTCTCTTATCTCAGCCTCCCAAACCCCTGGGATTACAGGCATGTGCCACCATGCCCGGCCCTTTTTATGTTCTTTTTTTTTTTAATTGTCAATGGACCATTATTTTATTTATTAACTTATTTATACGTGGTATTTAGAATCGAACCTAGTGCTTCATACATGCTAGGCAAGCACTCTACCACTGAGCCACAATCCCAGTCCCCTTTTTATGTTTTAAAACAGCATCTCACTAAGTTGGTGAGGTTGGCTGCAAACTTGTGATCCTCCTGCCTACCCAGTCACTGGGATTACACCGTGTGCCATGGTGCACCACTCTAGATGATAATCTCGTAATTTGCGTTTTGAGCTCTGGGTACTATATAGCTGTATAGCCACCTCATTTTGGTTGTTCCAGATGCATACAAAGGGTAGAAGTGATCGAAGATCATGTTCCAGGCAGCGGTTGGAATTGTCCAGTATCCTAACGGTCTCCAGACTTCATTTCCAAAGCTCTTTCAATGTTTTCATTGTAATTTTCCTTTTATTTTCCCAATGGTAAATTATATGTCTGCTTAACCATAATACAAAAACAACTAGAAAATTCACAAAGTACATTATCACTTGATTATAATAAAAAATAATATTACTTTGAATTTTCTAGTTTCCAGCTGCTCAGGAGATCTGATCCATGACACAAAGCACTCACTGGTCCAACCAAGGTTCCTAGGCAAACAAAGACACTTCCATTAAACATGGCATGCAAAGGGACTAGAAATGACCTCCTAGAAGCAAAGGGCAGGCCTCTGTTTTGGCAGGGTAACATTCTTTTGATACACAACAGAGTGAATGGTCAGTGGCTATGGAAAATATTATGATCATGCTTCATAATGGTAGGACCTTGGGATATAGCACAAGGCCTGGTTTCACTGGCTGTGTTGAACCTTCTGGAAGTTCTGAGTATGAGAATAATGAGAAACCCAGAGATGACCCATGTATAGGCAGCCAGCCATTATATTTCCTATCATCTCAATCCCTGGACCCAGTTTACTTCAAGAGAATTTATAGATGTTTTATCTGCTTGGGTCATGGTGCAGGCTCCAACTACTCCCAAGGCGTGGTCACTGGAGGGCCTACCTTCTAAGAGCCACCTTTCTCTCCCTCTGTTAAGATCCATAAGCCTGGAAGTTCTAAGAATGCTCCTTCAAATGGGCAGAGACTGTATTCAGCTACTAGAGCTGAGGAGTCAGATTTTCTTACAATAAAGGGACAGCACTGAAAAAAATATGGCCTTGGGGCTGGGGATGTGGCTCAAGCGGTAGTGCACTCACCTGGCATATGTGCGGCCAGGGTCGATCCTCAGCACCACATACAAACAAAGATGTTGTGTCTGCCAAGAACTAAAAAATAAATATTAAAAAAAAAATTATGGCCTTTGGAATCACATGAGCCTGGACATGACCTCCAGCCAGGACAAATTCTTGTCCCAGTTTTTTCACAAATTGAGAATATGGATAATATATAGCTTGCAGAGTTCTGGGGAAGAGTAACTTGAACACCACCTTTTCCCTGAAGCCTTCCCAGTTTAATGCTTACATCTGCCTCAGCCCTTTAAAACAGCAATTTGGTGAGATCAATCACATTGCCTAATGCTGCTGGTTTTCTGTGCTGACTTGGAAACTTAAGTTTAGAGACTCTTTAAACCGACTCACTCCTAAGGACCAGTTGATCTGACACTGATAGTCTCTTTTTCTGTTTGTTTGCAATGCAGCCCAGGGCCTCTTGCATACTCAGCAAGCACTCTGCCACTGAACTACATCCCCAATCCCATTGATAGTCTCTTATAAAAGATTATGATTCCAGTCTGACACTATGGCCATACAATCTTAATGTTTTGACCGATCTCTGCTGCAATTCCCTTCATCTGAAAAGTGGAGAATAATTGAATCTCCCCATATCATAGGATTGTTGGGAGAAGTAAATGGGTTAATATAATACACTTACAACTATGTATCATATAGAAGCATTTGTGATTATCATCTCATGTCACCACCTTGTTTCTTCACTAAATGCTGCCTCACACCTGGAGAACTGAAGGCATATGTAAAAGCCCACCTACTAGCCTCAGCATTCTACTTATTTTCCTTTTTGAAGTCCAGGGTAAAATTTGGTATGCTCTCTACTCTCCTTTTTAATTTTCTACCACTCCATTTTTTTTGAGGGGGGGGACTGAGCACATGAGATGGCTAAGCACAGCTCTATCCCTCCTAAAAACATGTTTCCAGGAACCTATTGGGCCACTTCTAACCGCTAGATGGTCACGTTACAGGGTGATTATTTCCTTAGGCAAGCAAATGCTTCAGCCCTCTAATACAAGATTTCCTGGGGTTGGGATATCAACAGGAAGTCCTGCAGAGAAGAGCTCTGCCAAAACATTCATTCCAAGGAACTGACTGGTAAAGCAGCAAATTTGTCCAGTCCTGTACAACATCCTGCAGCTCCACTTGTGGCCCACTGCAGACCTCACCCACAGATGGACCACTGGTGATCCTACCCCTCTGGATTCTTGGGACAGGAAGATCTATAGATAAGGTCATCCCAATGTAAGAAAACTATAAGAAAAGTTGCATTTACAAAGTGGTTGGGCCATTTATTGGTACTAGGGAAAGTGTTTCTTTACAGGAGGAAAGGAACTCTTAACACTAAAGTCTTTTCTTTTTTTCTTTTGCCTGAGGATTGAACCCAGGGTTTAGCAAATTCTAGGCAAGCATTATTATTTTTTTTTAATTTGTCCTAGCCCCCAGGCTGACCTCCAACTTACGATCCTCCTGCCTCAACCTCCAGAGTAGCTGGGATTACAAGTGAAAAGTCTCAACCCATTTTATGCGAACTTGAGCCCAAACTCTCCATATGTACACAGGTTAATGACGATCAGGAACAAATACTTGAGTTAAATAAATTGAACCAAATATTCCTAGTACAAACTGATAAAGGAAAGGGAGGAGAAGGCAACGTTACAGCTTTTACACAATGCTTCAGGCAAAAACAGCTAACAATCCCCACTGTCTCCCAAGGTAGTCATTTAATAGTCAGTGATCCAAGTTCTAAGAAAATGTCCTGGAAAACAGGAACAAACTTCCTCACTCCCGCTACTGTGACCTGCAATTAAGAAGCCAAGTTTTTAAGAACCCAAGACCGGTGCTCTTGGCAAGGGCATTCAGAATCTCCAGTATGAGGCTTCAACTTTCTCATCTGTAAAAGGCAGACGCGGCGAGATCTGCTAGGCATCCAAATCAAAGTCATCGCGCTCCTCATTGTATTCCAGCACGTGCCTCTTGATCTTGGAAGAGTCGACCCAGGTGACAAAATCCTCCATGCTGCGAGTGACAAGGAAGGCGGGATCGGTAACCACGTCCGGGCCGACACGCACGTGGCCCTGCTCCACGAAAGTTACGGCAGCCTGGAGATGCTGTGCCATGCGCAGTTTGAGGAGCACTGTGGGAAGGCGGCGGCGACAGAAGGATGAGGCTGTGACGAAATCGCAGAGCTCGAGCGATCCGCGCGTCGGCACCAGACCGAGAGCATACAGCTTGTCCAGAAGGGCGGCAGAGGCACGCACGCGAAACGGGTCACGCTCGGGGAGGTCGCGCAGTCGCCGCGCCAGCTCGCGCACCGCGCGGCTCAGCTGGTTGTACCGGGTGTAGTCTTCGCGCCGCTGCAGACGGTAACGCCGCAGCACGCGCAACTCGTGCAGGTTGTGGTCAGTGACTTCCCAGTTCAGGAAGTCCACCTGCTTCAGTAGCTTCTGCTCGTGGAACTTAAGCTYCCGCACCATGATGGCGGCAGCCGAAAGAGGGACAAGCTAAATTGAAAGCGCGTTCAGACGCCCGAGCGACTACCGCAGCGACGCCTGAATACCGAGTTTCTGGAAGGCCCTGGGCCAATGAAAGAAAGGCTAGAAGCCACGCCCCCCAACCCCATTGGTCAGAGTTGGGCCACACCTTTGCATCGGTATCTCGCGTTTCTTGTGTCGTTCTCGTGGGCGGCCGGGGTGGGGGGAGGCGTGAGAAGTGCCCCTGGTGGGTAGTGAAGGAGAATCCAGGGGCGACCTTGGGCATCATAGTAACCGAGAATGCATCCTCTAGTGCAGTAACAATTTTCTCTCAGATTTCTACCCTTTGGGGACTCTCAGCAGAGGCTTTCCCCGAAAACCTGGGGGGGCCAATTCCGCGGGAGGGGAGTGATGACCGCCTCTTTAAGTTGGGTTCACTGCGCTCGCGACTACCCTGCGGCGGAGGCTGACCGAGCAGTCAGTCTTTCGCCTGCGACTGCTAGGTCTTTCACCGGGCGAGCAGAGCGGTTTCTCCTTGCCAAATAGGGCTGGACTGCACTAAACCTATGGCATGCGGATTCCCTGGCCACTTCCTACACTGATAAGATCGGAATCTATTGCGGAACTGTCTGCAAATCCTGTATTTTTAATTTTTTCTCCTCCCTCCCCAGCCCCGTGGTATTGGGTATTGAACCTGGGGTGCTCTGCCACGGAGATATATCCTCAACCCTTATTTTATTTTGAGATAGGGTCTCACTAAATTGCCCGGGACTCGAACTCGCTATCATCACTCAACCTATCTAGTTGCCGGGATTACAGGCGTGTGCCACTGCGCCTGACTGGAAATCTTTATTTTTAACAAGTGCCAGGTGGTTTCACGAAATACAGCGAATTTGAGAAACTTGGACTGTTAGTACAAGTCCTAACCCTTTAGTGTAGCCTCAAACGAATTAGCTTGGGTGGATTTCTGGCCACCGAGTATTGAACGCTGTTTGAGCTCGTTAGATATGTAAATTACATTTGAGCGCTGCGGGACTAACTCCCTTTTAACCTAGGCCTCTGACGCCATCTAGCTTCTACTCTGATCACTTTGGTTTTTATTGTCCTTTTTTTTTTTTAATGCAGTATTTGCTAGCTGGAAAATACATATGTAACATGTAAGTTATCGTGTATAATGCATACTCGTGTACTCAACAGCATATTTAAGTAAACATCACCAGAACAATTGAACCATTTCATTTACCTAATCCAGCTTCTTTTGGCGGTATTTTTTAGGGGCGCTCTACCACTGAGCTACATTCCCCAGCCCATCTAATTTTTTTTTTTTTAATTTTGAAACAGTTTCTTACTCAATTGACCAGGCCGTTCTCGACTTTGTGATTCTTCTGCCTCAGCCTCCGGAGTTGCTGGGGTTACAGATGTGCACCACTCCGCCCAGCTCTTCTCCTGAATTTTGTGTTTATTATTTTGTTTAAAATTTTTTTCATCATTATACATACAAATATATGTATACACACACACACACACACACACACTCACACATATGTATTTAATATTAGGTGCTGGGGATGGAACCCAGAACCTTACCCATGCTAGGCAAGCACTCTACCTCTAAGCCCCACACCTGAAGACCGAGTTTATTCAAAGTGTAACCTGTGGATCAACAGAGAGCTTGTTGGAAATGCAGACTCTCAGGTCCTATTCCTGAGACTCAATCTCATTTTAACAAGATCTTAATTTGTGTGCACCCTGATATTTCAGAAGTTTTTCATAGAAGACAAGACATTGATTGGAGTTTGTTATGTGTAGCTGTAATTGCTTTTCTCCCTATCGTGTAATAGTCTTTGTTTGACTCATTTATTAATCCATTTTCCTGTTGGCTTTGTTATTGTTGGATTTCTTTGGAGGGACTGTTTTCAGCAAAATTGCCATTAACATTTTTATACATGTCATATGTTGCACATATGCAGTAGTTTCCAGTATACATTGTAGGAGAGTTTCTAGTCAACCTTAGTAGATATTGCCAAATTGTTTCCAAAAAGATTGTATGAATTTATATTCCTTTGGGAATATATAAGAATTCCCTGGGGCTGGGGTGATAGCTCAGCAGTAGAGTGCTTGCCTAGCACATGTGAGGCCCTGAGTTCGGTCCTCAGCACCACATACAAATGAATAAATAGAATAAAGGTATTAAAAAAAAAAAAAAAGAGGGCTTGGTTATTTTTGTTGTTATTGTTAGGTTGTTTTTTGTTTTGCAGTACAGGAGCTTAAACCCAAGGGTCCTCTTTTTTTTTTTTTTTTGGTACCAAGGATTTAACCCAGAAGCACCAGCCACATCCCCAGCCAGTTTTTGTTTGTTTGTTTGTTTTGTTTTGAGGCAGGCCTAACTCCTGCTATTCTCCTTCCCCAGCCTCCTGAGCTGCTTTGCCACCACACTCAGCTAAACCCAGGATGCTGTACCACTGAGCCACACCCATAGCCTTTTTTAATTTATTATTTTGAGACAGGGCTTTACTAGTTGCCAAGACTGGCCTCAAACTTGCAATTCTCCTGCCTCAGTCTCCTGAGTCGCTTCGATTACAGGCATGTACCACTGTGCCAGGCTTGGTTATTAGTTTTTAAAATGGTTGCCAATGTGGTGTGTAGATGTGTATCTGTTTTCTTCCTTCCTTCTTTTTTTTTTTTTTTTTTTTTTTTGGCACTTTACCTCTGAGCGACATTCCCAGCTATTTTGTTTGTTTGTTTGTTTTAAACATTTTATTTTTTAGTGTAGTTGGATATAATACCTTTTTTTAAAATTTTTTTTATTGGTTGTTCACAACATTACAAAGCTCTTGAGTGGATATAATACCTTTACTTCACTTATTTATTTTTATGTGGTGCTGAAGTGGGTTATAGGCATGTACCACCATGGCCCAATGTGTAATGGTATTTCATTGTGACTTTAATTTGCGTTGTTTCAATGAATAAAAGCTTTATGTGTTTCTTACTCTGGGAAATGCCTCTTTATGTCCTTTGTTTATTGAGATTGATGAGATTGTATGGTAAGTAGAATAATGACCTCCTAAAGATGTCCACCAGGAACCTGTGAATGTGTTACCTTACACTACCTAAAAGACTTTGCAGGTATGTTTAAGACTCTTTATTGAGATAATGGATTACCTTGACTTAATTCCACATTGTATTTATAAATCATAACATCACTCTGTATGTCATAAATATATACAATAATTTAGCAATTTGAAATTGAAAAAAATTTTAAAATATATTTTTTAGTTGTTGATGGACCTTGATTTTATTTATTTATATATGGTGCTGAGAATCGAACCCAGTGCCTCACACATGCTAGGCAAGCGCTCTACCACTGAGCCACAACCCCAGCCCTGCAGTTGAAAATTTTAATATTTATTTTTTTAGTTTTCGGCAGATACAACATCATTGTTTGTATGTGGTGCTGAGGATCGAACCTGGGCCGCACGCATGCCAGGCAAGCGCGCTACCGCTTGAGCCACATCCCCAGCCCCCAGTTGAAAATTTTAAATGAAAAAAAAGTGGGTGGCAATATTGGCATGGGGAGATTATCCTGGTGGGTCCTATGTAATTACAAGAGCCACAGAAGTCCTTATGAGTGAAGGAGGGAGTCAGAAGAGTCAGAGGAGATGATGGAAGCAGAAGCCTGATGAGATTGCTGACTATGATAATGAAAGTGTTCCAAGAGCCAAGAGATATAGACAACCTCTAGGAAACTGGAAAAGGCAAGGAAAAAGATTATTCCCCAGAGAAGGAACATAGCTCTGCCAATATCTTGATTTTTTTAGCCCAGTGAGATCCACTTTGGATTACTAGTTTCCAGTACTGTAAGATGATAAATTTGTATTATTTTAAGGCATTACATTTGTGATTATTCATTATAGCTGCAATAAGAAATGACTATAGATTTTTTTTATTTTTTTATTTTTTATTTTTTTGGTAGTACTGGTGATTGATCCTAGGGCCTGTAACAAGGGAGGCCACTGTTCTGTTCTACCATGGAGCTTCATCCCCGACCATTTATTTATTTATTTTGGTACTGAGGATTGAACCTAGGAGTGCCTAACCACTGACCTATACCCCCAGTTCTTTTTTATTTTTTGAGACAGGGTCTTGCTAAGTTGCTTAGGGCCTTGCTAAGTTGCTGAAGCTGGGGTTGAATTAGAATCCACCTGCTTCAGCCTCCCAAGTCACCTGGATTCCAGGCAGGCAGTACTCTGCTCTACAGGTTTTAATTTTAAATAGGGTATGCCAGGGTAGGTCTTGTTGAGAAAGTTCTATTTTATAGTTAATCCTTGTGCATATTCAGGGGAAGGAAGAGCATTTCAGGAAGAGGAAATAGTGCAAATACATTAGGGTAAGAATGTACCTGACATGCCAGAAGAGGAATTACAAAGCTGTCATGGCTGGAACAGAGTGGGAAAGGAGGATATTAAAGGGTATCAGATAACATAGAGGCTTCCAAGCCCTTGTAAGGACTTTGTAGGGTTTTGAGCAGAGAATTGACACCTAACTTATATTTAAAAAGAATCACTCTGAAAGCTGTAGTGAGAATAGATTCTAGGAAAGCAGAAATGGAAATGCAGAGTCCATCAGGTGGCTACTACAGTGATCCAGTGGGAAAAAAGGCAGCTGGGACCAGGAGAGCAGTAGAAAGATGCTGATAAAAGAGGAATCCTAGAAGGCAGGTGCAGTGGTGTTTGCCTGTAATCCCAGCAACTAAGGAGGCTGAGGCAGGAGGATTGCAAGTCCGAGGCCAGCCTATGTAACTTTGTATATCTGTCTCCAAATTAAAAAATAAAATAAAATAAAAGGGGCTAGGGCTTTAGTTTAGTGGTAGAAAGCTCCTGAGTTCAGTATTCAGTACCACCACCAAAAAAAAAAAAAAAAAAGGACTGGATTGGGGTGGGGAGAGGGGGACATCATTAGCAAATATGTTAAATATATGGTGTTCCATGCTATGGGCCTAAATAAGATAATCAAAGGAATGAATATGAATATATGCATGGACAGAGACAAGGCTGGGCGTTCAGGGTGGTATGGTCACAGACTGAATAGAAAATACAAG